GTACGTACTAACTTACAGGGAAATACGGTACTATTTCAAGTCAAGTAACCCTGGATAAGGAGACCACCTGGTGACAGAGACCACATTTTGAAGGTCCCTTGAGCGGTCGTCTTAGACAGGTTTCACTGTACATACATACGCACGGGTTCGTCCATGCACCCGTACACATGCACACACACGCGTGCACACACACACACACACACACACACACACACACACAAAACCGCAACACACACACACACACACACACACACAATCATCCCAGCATGAAAGACAGTAGGATGAAGGACAGTGGACAGCAGCCTTTGGATGAAGCACTCCTGCCAGACTGCAATCACATATGGCCACACAGCAGCAGCAGCAGCAGAACTACGAACACCACCACCATCACCACTACCACCACCCCCGCTAGTACCAGCACCACCACTACCACCACCCCCGCTAGTACCAGCACCACTCCCGCTAGTACCAGCACCACCGCTACCACCACCCCCGCTAGTACCAGCACCACCACTACCACCACCAGCATCCCAGCCGCCAGTACCAACAACACCACCTCCATCCCCAGCACCAACGGCAGAAGTGGCGGGCGCAGCAGCCAAACCACCACCACCACCACCATCGACAGCAGCAGCAGCAGAACGAAATCCCACCATACCTGGCATCCAGAGAACCAGCGCTTCGTCGAGCACCTCGCCAGACTCAGGGTGGTGTAGTCGACGTAAGCATGCTTTGCGTGCATGCACCTTAGATTGTCCACCCAGCAACGACAACAGTGCCTGAAACGAAGCGACGTCACAGGAAAAACAGTACACAACCTTCAGAATAGTTTTCCAGGCGACAAAAATGCATTCAGACTGAAGAAAAGAGCTACTCGTAGCTTCAGATTTTTTACAAGCAACCATTTCAAAAAACTTCCGCAAGTACAGTCGGACCTTGCTTATCCGGTCCTCGTTTATCCGGATCCCTCGCCATCCGGAAGAAAATCGTTGGTTACCAATTTACAGCATATGTCATGCATACATGCAGTATGTGTGTTCGATTATCCGGTTCCCTCGCCTATCCGGATGTTTTTGTGGGAAACGGATGTGTGCGGTTTTTGCGAGGTCTGACTGTACCTCCATTGCCTTCTCTTCGGTCTAGGCGTGAACGTGTGAACAGTGGATGTGTGGGGTTACAGGCGTGAGATGCAGCCCATCTGGCTGTATGGGCCTTCCGCGGGACAATGACATGGTGCAGCTTGGCTCCGGATGAATCATAGAACAGCATCATGCAGTATACAGGAACATCTTGCACAACTCCTCAAGTGCATACTCTTCATACACTTGGCAATCACTGTCCGTACGATGATGGACTCTACCCTCCGCAGAAGCAAGAGCTGGTTGCTCCTCATCAAAGTTGCCGATTCGCGGTGCGCGCTTTCTAGAAATAGCTATGCTCTTCGCATTTCTAGGTTACATGAAGACCCGGAAGGTGCAGTGAAATCAATCCCAAATGACACCTGAAAAACACAGACACCTCAAAATCGGCGGACCACTTCATGTAGTTCCTCAGTAGCAGAAATTCGCACACTTCTCTGTCTACAGGAGGAAAGCTTGGACTAGTCAATTGGGTGTCTGCATTCCTCAAGCCCCGCCGTACAGACTGCAACGCAGGCATAGCACCATGATCGTTCCTGCAGCTACGCTACACACAAGGCGGAAGTATGGGGTGGCAAACGGCGGCCAAAAATGTGTTTATGAGTTCGATTCCACTCATCAATACTTCCCAACTTTGGCTGAAACGCCTTTGCAACAGCGTTCACACACTGAGTTAGACGAGAAGGCAAAAATGCCTGTGTATCCGGTGAAGTAAAATAAAAACAAACAAACAAACACTGACCTGCCAGGTGTGAGGGCCAGAGAGACGCACCACAGACACGCCTGCAGGTACAAGCAAACCAGACGTAGATACAGCAGGTCAGAGTACACCTACCATTGCTGCTCATTGCCGACCATGCTGCCATATCTAGGGCACATCTAAGATCTACTGTACGCAGTACTATAATTATAGGAGCCAATTTTTTCCTCGTTCGCCGCTACAGTATTCGTAGTACTGTTCCCCGAGGAAAGAATCTAGGATGAATTTGTGTGCGTGTGTGTGTGTGTGTGTGTGTGCTAGTGTCAATTTGCGGATGACTCTGCTCTGCTCGCTACCACTCATGATGGTGCACAGCGGGCCCTTGACCTATTCATACATGTGGCATCTTCTTTCGGCTTGACAGTCAACCTGGACTAGACAAAGGTGATGGCTGCTGGATATGGACTCACGGAAGGTGACCGGCTGCCCCTGGAGGTGGCGGGTGAGGTGGTCGAGCGTGGGGATAGTTTTTGTTATCTTGGCTCTCTCCTTCACACGAATAGCCAATCCACCCCTGATATCAGCTCGCGCATTGCCGGTGCATTACGTGCATTTAGATTTCGGAGCCCTGCGCCAGCCGGTTTTCAATGACAGTAACCTTTCCCTTGCTACGAAGCGGCTTGTGTACGATGCATGCGTGCTGTCTCTGCTTCTGTACTGTGCTGAGTGCTGGGTGCCGTTGAAGCCCAACCTTAATGCACTTTGGTCTTTTCATCTGCGCTGCATCTGTTCCGTAATGGGTCTTGGCCAGCGGAATGTCTGGGACGAACGACTGACCAGGGTTGCTGTTCTGGCACAATGGAATCAGCGTCAACCCCGTGATATCCCCAGCCTGCTGACATCGCGCCGCATGAAGTGGCTTGGGCATGGTGTGCGAATGCATGAAGAGCATGCCCCGCGTCAGCTACTGTTTGGCACCCTACATCCTGTCCGTCCGATGTGCGGCCCGAGGAAAAGGTGGCGCGATGCTGCGCGGAAGGACCCGGCAGTGTTGGGCATCGACAAATGGTACGACTTGGCCTAGGATAGACGAGAATGGCGGGCCGCTTACAAGCCCCCGCCCGAACCCGTTTGTGCGCCTCTGCTGGTATCTTGTGTCGAGTGTGGTCGTCTCTTCTCCAGGAGTGGTTTTCCTCGTCACAAATGCCTCGGTGAGCGCCGTTAACCTGTATCGGAACAGAGAGGTAGCCGACAATGTTCTGCCTGCCAGCGCTGGTTCCGCAGTGCCGGAGGTTTGGCAGTCCACAAGTGCCCCATCTCCCTCCCCCCGACATCATCTCAAGCTCCATGTCAAACAGCGATGTCCGACATTGCTGCTCAGCCGACTCCTCTGCCGCCGCGTGTCCGGCTCGTTCTCTTAGGCCGCGGTCTCTCCAAGTTCAGCCGTTTTTGGCTTGCGCTGAAAGTGGCTTGCGACTAGCCAGCTGACGGTCACACCAAAACTGGCTGACGCGGGTTTTCCCGGGTTTTTCTGTGTCGAGTGTGGTCATCTCTTCTCCAGGAGTGGTTTTCCTCGTCACAAATGCCTCGGTGAGCGCCGTTAACCTGTATCGGAACAGAGAGGTAGCCGACAATGTTCTGCCTGCCAGCGCTGGTTCCGCAGTGCCGGAGGTTTGGCAGTCCACAAGTACCCCATCTCCCTCCCCCCGACATCATCTCAAGCTCCATGTCAAACAGCGATGTCCGACATTGCTGCTCAGCCGACTCCTCTGCCGCCGCGTGTCCGGCTCGTTCTCTTAGGCCGCGGTCTCTCCAAGTTCAGCCGTTTTTGGCTTGCGCTGAAAGTGGCTTGCGACTAGCCAGCTGACGGTCACACCAAAACTGGCTGACGCGGGTTTTCCCGGGTTTTTCTTTTTTTTGGAGGATGACCCCTGTGCCCAGTATACGTGATTTGCGTACACACTACGTCCTAATTTTGAATCTCCACGTGGGAAGAAACTACCTGACTACAACAAACGTCAACTCAAGTTCTTCAACTCCTCTTGGACTCTTGCACTTCAGCCAAAATTATTCAGCCACTTTCAGCGCTTCCAAACGGGTTGAAAGCTGAAAGTGGCTGGTGCCCCGATTTTCAGCCGTTTCCGTGGAAACCTCAGCCGAAAAAGAGTGCTTTTTTGGTTGAACGGCTGAATCGGGCTCGGTGTGACCGCGGCCTTATGTTGCAAGGCCCACTGTGGAGCCCGTGGTCGGTGCTGCCGCTGTACTCGTGGCTTCCAGAGCCATAGCTGCCGGCGATTGCTCTCGTATAAAAGCACCTGCTTGTATACGCGACATTACAGTAGTTACCGCGTATACAGTGGAAATTGTCTATAGCAATATGTCGCCGATAGTGATCAAATTCAATTTTCAAAAGACTTTTACTACATTATCTTTGCACCGGTTAAAGTAATTGATGTGAAATCAAGTCGTGTAAGAGGCGAACAGGAAGTTACTTCTTTGTGAAAAATGTGCCCAGTGTTGTTTCTTGAGCTCTACTTGTAGTACTGTAGAGGCAGAAAATTTCGTCGGTCAATAATTTCGTCCAACTCCAAAGAAAGGGATTTCGTCCGGTTGAAAATTTAGTCCATGGACTATAACAGTGTATTGAAACGCTGGACAAATCGACATTCGTCCGGCACTTAATTTAGTCCCAAAGCTCCTTGGACGAAAAAGACGAAATCAAATTCCAGACGAATATTTCTGCTTGTATAGTATTAGTTGTCCAAAATGCCTCCATCGTGAGGATATGCTGACGCTGTGTGTCAGGAGCCTTGGCTGCATAGGCATGATAGGGTGCATTTCTCAAAGTAGGAGTACACAGGGCCTACGCTGCAACCAACTATGCAGCGTGTATGTGTACGGCGCGCTGAGTCTTTTGATACCCCACTCGCATACAGTACATGCAGTATCGGTCATAGTATATCGCTTATAGGGATAAAATGCTCAAAATCAAAGACCAACGCTTTAGGCGATACTGACTGTATTATACCGGTATATTAAATGTGTTTATTAATTTTGCAGAGAGATGCAGAGAATCTGGTGACAACTCTGATGTATGGCATCTCTGGCAGGGAGCAAAGTCCGCATTGTTCATTTCTGTTCACACATGCCACCTCCCCGACGCTATCACTCCATCAGTCCATGTTCTACGTGAAGAAGGCCTTCACATTTTGAAATAATTTGAACATTTTTTATAATATTATATAAAAAAATGTTCAAATTATTAAATTTTACAAGGTCGAATTGTATGTGATGTTTGAAAAGATGAGTTGATCAAGTACTACATGTAGTGTATGTTTCAGTACAACATGACGCCATATTAACTCACCGCACTTTCCAGTTCCTGAAGATATGGCGAATATAGTGTGGCCACTTTGCACAGTATGGCTGGTGAGTCTCCTAATCGAGAAGGAAATAGGGGGCTGTTGTTGCTGTTCGCGGTGAAGGCAACGGCATACAGGTGGAAAAAACTCGGGAGGTTTAATGCGCAGACATACCAGCGGTCGCACTTTGGCTCTGGTCAGTCTGCCTAACATTGTCCAGTCGCTGAAGGGGGAAGTTCGAATTTCAATGAGCTACAAAAATTCTGTTGCACCAGTGGATTGGGTCAGTTTGAAAGACCCTCGATAAATCTACGTCGGGGAATCTTTGCCAAGCACTACTGTCTACCCATCCTGTAGTTTTGAGGTGGTTTATGTTGCTCTTGCCGTTTTGGTCCTTTTGCAAGTACTACTACTACTTACTAGTATCCCCTGCGGCCTATCCTGGTACATCACTTGCAGTTTTTGCTCTTGCATTATTTTGATTATTTGAGTCCTGGCTTTTCTTTTATTTCAAACATCTTTTGAAACAGAGACTCTGACTGCACTGAGCCAGAACGTGCACAACCGGAAGGAATCAAACGTGCACCACGTGGCCGGTCGTCGACTCGCGCTCGATCGTACTCGATCGACTAGATATCTAGACTCGTCGCTCGCTAGCGCTGTTATCAATATCATGGTTATAGTAGGGATTTCAGTCACGTGACTTTTTGGCCCGAAAGAGCCTTCATGCAGCTGCATTGATTTGGGGATCTGCGCATGGCACAATTTTTGCGGAGGCGTTCAACTGTCACTGGATGATGCAGTGACGCTTGGAGACAAAATCGAACGGGTTTACATGAGAGTAGAGGTTTTGAGCTTTCATTTGGTACCAATCTCGGTGAAATGGCGTAAAAAAGACTGGATTCGTGCGTCTTTCAATGATTTCAAAGTCGATTTTCGATATGATGCAAGCATTGCACACACTCGCAACATCGATAATCGGATTCTGCACCCTCGATTTAGTTTAGATCAGTTCCTTGTATCTTGCTGACGAGTCGCGGTTGTTCGCGAAATTTAGTAGAACGCCATGGCGTGCGAGAAAGACGAGTCTTGGATTGGCCCTCTGTGCAAGAAGCTGTCTCTGACGCGTAAACAGTTGCAATGCGCTCCGTCTTGACTCGCCATCAGGGCGGGTAGCAGTGGATAGTCCTGGCCAGCTGACGAACAGCCTCGTCCTTGAACTTCTGTCGTGGACTACAAACACGCAAATAAATTGGCAGTCGCTGATTTTGCTGTTGTCAGCAGTGGATGGCAAGGAAATAGACAAAGTGAACGCGAAAGCAGTTGGGACGAAAGTCAAGCGGGTGAGATACCGACGGAAGAAGCTGCTGAAGGACAAAGCCGAGGACGCCATCAGCGAACTGCTTTGTCAGCCGTTCGTTCTGCCTGAACTGGATGTCATCCCAGCACATAATGTCGGTACTGAATCGTGTGACATTCAAAAAGAAAATGCCAGTAAATTTGAAAAAAATTCTGTCGAAAGCCTGTCAAAGAAAATCATTGATCTGGAAGAAGAATTAGCAAGAAAAAGGGAAACTGCAGAAATCTGTTGTGTGTTCCACGCGCCGAACCTGACACATCGGCCTTTAGCATTGACTCTCCTCCTCTCCTCTGGTTGCTTTAAACGTTCTCGGCTAAAACGAGATGTAAACCGGCATGTGGCTCGCCAGCATGGACTCTCTTACCCTGACTCTGGCTCCCTGTCACAAGGGAGTGACGTGGCCCTATGGGGCAGTCATGCTATAGTAGTAGTATGTGTGTGTGTGTGTGTGTGTGTGTGTGTGTGTGTGTGTGCGCGCGCGCGCGCCCGCGCACACACACGTGTGCGTGTGGGTGGGTGTTGGCGCACGGACTGGTGGTGGGTGCGCGTGTTCATGGATGAACAGGTCTATATGTATGCTTGAAATGGTGTGTGAGAGTGCTGTTGTTGCTGCTGCTGAGCCTCTGTCTCTCCTTCTGGCATGTGAACATTGCAATGTCGCGTATTAATTGTGAGGCCAGTCGCAACCACTTTTGCTGAGCGCGTCACTTGTAGATACATGTATACTATATTTTTACTTCGGCCGGGAAGCTCATTGTCCTGTTTCTTGTTCAAACATTAATTGGTACATGTATGCTATGCCATATCAGTATGTACATTTATCCAACAGGTGAATTTTGATACAATGAGCAGCAGTTTCATAGATTCTAAGCCTGTTGCTAAGGTCGTTGCTATGGACGCCATTGTTGTTATTTCTGTTCAGTTTTTAAAAATTCAAAAAAATATTCAGTGATTTTATACCGGTGGGCTCCACTAATTATGCTGTCCAAGTTTGGTGCGATTTGGAGCACTTTGGGCTGTTGCTAGGGTGTTGCTATGGCCTTCTTGAAACCCGTTTTGTGCCGTGCTTCCCATCCTAATTGTATACTTGCCGATGAAGGGTACCCACCCGTATTCAAATGATCATAACTCTGGTTTCCCTTGGCCGATTGCTCTGATTTTTTGGCTGGTTGATAATCACATCCATATCTTTCATTTGAGCCATAATTGCAGTATGCACTGTTGACAACAAAAAACCGCCTGAAATCCCTAGTTATAGGGAGGTTCTGCTCTACGTTTTGGGAACGCGACGCAAAGAATCACGCGAACTTTCTTCGCGTTCCCGTAACGTAAAGAAATGCTGTTCTGCTCTACGTTTCACCTAGAGAAGTCACGTGGAATGTGTACTGGGAATTTCCCCTTCCATATTTGGCAGCTTTCTGCATGCAGTTGATCGATACCCAGCAAATCCGTACGCAGTTTCTCTGCGTGTGCCACAACGTAGAGAACCCCATCTCCGCGTAGAAATCTGGAGCCAAAACACGCGAAGCCGTAGACTCTAACCCAGACACCTGCTCTCTACGTGATTTCTCTACGTTTCACGTATAGCAGAACCTCCCTAGTGTGCGATATCTACGCGGTTCGGTGCGCGCACATATGCACACAGACACAGACAGTGTACGAGTGTACTCGTACTGTACTGGGCGGCCGCGCGTCCGGGCGCGCGACATGCGCATCAGATCATGGCATGACGTATAATAAGTACTAAAAAAACTGGGTTTTAGTATTCCCTGGTTGCGACGTGGCATGTGTCGTCATCACTGCATATCGCTAACAACAATCAACATACAACAAACAAACAAGCGCGACAGATCTACGGCGCGGTGGAGAGTTCGTGCCGTTTTGGACCTACGCTCCACTGCTACAAACTGCACATCTGGCACATACTTTTACTGTAGTGTGTAGTCAGTGCAAACACAGACAGTGTGGTGTTCTTCGTAGGCCAATTTTTTTTATTGTTGGCTTGTTGCTGGCAGTAGAGATGTCCACCACGGAAGAGCAAGCAGCTGCGGAGCAGAACTCAAGTGGGGAGGAGGAGGACGCCCAAGAGCAACCCCAGCCTACAGTACGTGAAATTTGCTGAGTTCCATCCAGTGATGGTTTTTTTTGTATCTCTCCAATTGATTTATTGTTTTTATGTTTGTAATAAGTTCTCTTATTATGAGTTTGGCATTGTGTGTTGTGCAGCAGCAGAATACGACCGTGGAAGGCGCGCTGCGTCTCCTCATCGATTCTGTGCTCTCAGCCTCGGAATCGTATCCTCTCTGAGCGGGTAGAAAATTCTTATTTTTAAATTCAATGACACCAACCACGATGATGCTTGCTGACCCATGACACTATAAATTTTGTTTTATGCACTGAGGGATAGGCCAATCTCGGGGTTCTAGCCAGGTCAAAATAGGGGGGGGGGGGGGCAGGGGAAACTGTCACCCCGCAATCCTTTATCCATTTTCCAAAATTGTCTTGCCATGCAAAATGCACCGTACGAGGCGAACCCCCGACTTCGCCCCAGACAAGTGTGCCTGTATGAATCCTCTGTTCGTGACTATTGACTGCATTGTCGTTAAATTGCCGGAAAAACACAAAAATTGACAAATGGGTAGGGGACGCTCCATTTTCATAAGGGGTGCTCAATCAGAGTAGCCCCCCCCCCCCCCCCCCCCGCCATGCACACATTGTGCGTAGGATTTTAAAGCTGGATGCAGTATGCATGTGTCCAGGGCATGTGTACGTGCGCACCTACCCATGTCGTATCCGCGTTCAAGTGGATTGTGTGTGCGTGTCTGTGTGTGTGTGGTGTATAGCCGTGCAAAGGCAAGACCACTCTTTAGCTTGCCGACGGTGGTCTGCTCTCATTTGGGAGTGTACCATACTTTCGGTAGTATCGGCCAAGGTGGTTAGCAGTTTGCGAGCCCAAAAATTCACCCGATTTGAGAAGAAGACAAAAACATCACAAAGGCCCTGAAATGAAGTGGCACTTATTTCAGAGAGGCGATAATGAAAGATCGGCCCCAATTCCGGAAAATACCGTATGTTTGTTTCCTTGACTCACCGGCATCCGCCTGCGTCAGACCATTCGCCGCACCCGAGGAAAGTACTGGCAACAAGCTGAATGAGGAGTAAGTACTAGTAACAAAACTTCCCCAGGCAGGTCCAGGGTTTGCTAGGCTGCCTGGCACGCGCCCGGTCAGATTCTACGACCAGCGTTGTATACAGTGCATGTGCTTGAAGGTGCGTTGTGTATGTGGGTGAGTGTGAGTGTGAGAGGGGGGGATGGGATCCTACGCACACCCACTGACCAATGGGCTATCTGTGGCTGGAATATGGTGTGCTACGTTGTGTTGTGCAATCTCTCTCTCTCTCTCTCTCTCTCTCTCTCTCTCTCATATGAGTTCCTATC